TGGAAGTTAGCCACATCCTAATCCTCAGCACTTGTGAATATGTTATGATGTCTCGAAAGGGAATTAATTGAAGGTAGAATTAAGGTTGCTAATCATTTGACCTTAAAATAGAGTGATTATCCTGGTTTTTCTGGGTGAACCCAATGGAATTACAAGAGTCCTTAAATGTTGAAGAGGGAGGCTGAAGAGTCAGTATCAAAAACATGTGCTATGGGAATGACTCTGACAGCCATAGCAAGCTGGCAGCCACTTGAAGCTCGAAAAGACGAGAATACATATTCCCCCCTGGAGACTTCAGAAAGGAACATGGCCTTGGTGACATCTTATTTTGGCCTACTGAGACTTATTTTGGCCTTCTGACCCTTAGAATTGTACAAAATGGGTTGTTTTAAGTAACTAAAAGTTGGTATAATTTGTTACAGCAGCAACAGGGCACTAATACAATGTTTACATGTGATTGTTAAGAATAGTTTCTTCCACTATAAGGCCAGCTTCTTCAGAAAAGGGTCATACCTTTGTCACCTTTATTTACCTAGAATCTAAAAGAAGGTCTAGCACATAGTCAGGGCTGAGCAAATATTTGTTGAACAAACCAAAGAACAAAAAGCTGCTCTTACTCTGGTTCTTATTCTTGCTTTGAGATTACAAAGCAACTCCTATCTCCCTCCTTTCCCAGAGGAGGCCCTTAGCCATGTTCTCATTTTGCTTTTCTTTCACTATTGTGCCATGTGTCGCATTGCAGGTTTCATTGCTATTGCACTTGCAGCTTGCTCCCTTACTGTGGCCCACTCCCCTCCTCTCTCTGGGCCTGTGTTCAGGGAGAGTCGAGATGGAAGGCATGCGTCATATATGTACTTGGCTTCACCAACAGGCCTTTGGCGGGCTACGCCTGAAATGGTCTTTTCCTACTTCTCTCGGATTCTGTCTGCTTTCCTTTCCTCCCCTCTCCACAGCTGCCTCCACCCATATTTCCTCCCAAGCTTCTGCTCTTCTCAGACCCGTTTGAACAGGAAATAATGTAGCCTTCATATCTCCTTTTCCTTCCCATATACTGAATTAAGTACCTAGTCCTGGTCTTTCTGTAGTCCTTCTTTACCCTCTACTCAGAAGATTCCATGGATTTCCAGGATAAACAGTGAAGTAAATTAAGGAACTCTCAGGTTCCCTCAAGGAATCCCTCTGCTTATTTTATCCAGAACTTCGAGGCTGCAAGGCTGGGGGGCTCCCGGGCTGGGAGACCAGAGCTGATACTAGGTTTCCATACTGTGGCTTTTTTTTTTTCCTTCCTTCTCAGCCATTCTCAGGCCTGAACTTCTCAGATTTGGAATTGAGCTTGACTTCTGCCTCTCTGGCTCTCTGTCTCAAGTTCAGTCCAGTCTCTCCAGGAACCAGCCTCTGGTAAGCAAGATTGGTGATGGTCTAAAGCTGAGTTCTCAGGCCAGACCTCCTCCAATGCTGCTGCTAGGTTCTTTATGTTTGATTTGGGTGGCTGGCTCAATTCCTATGCCAGTCCTTTGTGGTCAGGTCTGGTAGCGTAGCCAAGAGACACAGTGTGGTAACTCATCTAGAGAGGACTGCCTCTGACTGATCAATCCTGGGGCTGAGGATGCTGGACACAGGGACTCTTCTCTAGCACAAACTCTTTCACCAAAATCTATTTGTGGAGGACATTCTTTTTGATCCATCTGCCTTTCCCACTACATGAAGACAGAAAGTTGATAAAACAAATAGATTATCCAATTTACTCTCCTCAATCCTAATCTAAGTATGAAATTCATATTTTGGAGGAATCTTTAGGTCTCAGACATCTGATCTCTTGGAGGCTGTAGCATCAGAGGATGAAGGTCAGGACAAAGACTCAAGTCCTAAAGATGAACTATGACTTCTCTTACTCTGTAGACAACAGTCCCGGGTGTTGCATGCTTCATCGTATCAGAAATAAGCAGGCTCTGAGGTCTGTATTCTCCTGTAGATGACTCTCATTCTTGTATGAAAATACTATTTTATCTTTCTTTTCATGCCAGCAGCTTAAGCCTATGACCTGAATGCCTTTCCTTACTCCTTTTTCTTTTCTGTTTTTTAACTGAGGATTGAATCCAGGGTCTTTTAACCACTGAGATACACCCCAAGCCCCTTTAATTTTTAGAGACAAGGTCTTGCTAGGTTGCTGAGGCTGGTGTCAAACTTACTATCCTTCTGCCTCAGCCTCTTGAGTTGCTGGGATTATAAGGTGTGCACTCCTGCTCTGGGCTTATCCCTTTTCTTAAAAGCATTTGCAAAGGCTACTCCAGAGAGCTTAGGGTGGCAAAGAAGCTACCCACAAAAGAGTTCTCATTCAACACGGGAGTGGAAGGGGAGGAATGAGGCATAGATCCATACCTGGGCTGAGAGGTCTTAATTATGTACTTAGAAGGACCAGTTTCACATTTCTGATTTTAGGTGGCATATTACTCTTGGGGACGAAAACTCAGAAGAATACTTTCAAGTTAAGGGTGTGATATCAAGACATTTCTTAGAGAAAATAATTTAATATATGGTAATAAATTATGCAATGTTATTATCTAATAACAAGTTTTAAAAAAGTGGCATTATATAACTTTTTAAGATAAAGATAATATAAGAATTTGAGTTTCAAACTTTTAAAGAGTGCTTAGATTTAATTTTTAATTTTTTTTTATCCTTTTTTAGTTATAGTTGGAGACAATACCTTTGTTTATTTATTTTTATGCGGTGCTGAGGATTGAACCTAGGGCCTCACATGTGCGAGGTAAGTGCTCAACTGCTAAGCCGCAATCTCAGCCCCCATAGATTTAATTAAAAAAAAAAAAAACTGTTTCTTTAATCTTTCTGGAATCTAATGTGCAGGATGTAAGGGAAGAAACAGCTTTTTCTGGATGGACAGCTAGTTGTTTCAAAACTATTGAATAGGTTACATTATTATCCCATTGATTTGAAGTCAATTTTATAATGTACAGTAAAAAAAAAAATCCCTTGTAATCATGGTTGCTTCTGTGTTGTGTCTCACTGATTTATTAATATTTGTCTATTTCTTTGTCATTACTGCACTGCTTTGGTCACTCTGACTTTATAAGACATTTTGCTATCTTGTAGCACAAGGCCCCTACTAGGGCCTCATGTTTTGTTGTTTTTCTTCAAAGTTTCTTGGCTGCACTCATGTGTTTAGTCTTCCAAATGAATTTTAGAATCAACTCATCGACTTCTAAAAATCATCCCACTGGGTTAGGGATTGAAATTGCACTGAATTGACATCATTGTAATATCAAATTTTCCCATCAGGACATGATCTCTTTGTTTGTTTAGGTCATTTTTATGTCCTTTGAGTTCTCTTGTTTTCTTCATATAGCTCTGGCATACTCTCAAAATATTTTACATATAAAATGTATTTCTGGGGGGCTGACATAGTAAACAAGGTTTTCTTTTTCCTTTTGACTAATTTTTGGAAGAGTTTTATCTTCGTCAAGGTTCTTATGGTAACAATTTACAGAAGTACACTCAAACTAACTTAGGCAGGGGGGAAAAAAAAGAGAATTCTTTGGAAGGCAGCCAAAGCTTTGCCTGTAGGCCAAGGCCAGAAAGGGGAGTGGGCCTCACAGGGGGATGGAAACAAGAACTACTTCATCTCCTGTTGCTTCTTTCAGTAAATCTGTTTTTCTTTCCCTCTGTAATTCAGCTTTCTTTGCTTCTGTTTCACTTTCACATGTCTGGAAGCAAAGGAATATAGAACAAACCTGGCTACAGTTGCTACCCCTATGAATGGAGCAATTCTCAGAAAATAACTGTGGACTGGGGAGGCCAGAAGGAAAACAGTTCCTGCAATATTAGGAACTTCAAATCTTTTTTTTTTTTTTCCTGAGAGGTTGAGTTGGCAGTTACAGTGAGGGAGCCCCTGCCCTCCCCAGTACCAGGTGATTGATAAACAGAGACGACAATCATCAAGTCATGGAATTAACAATTCAACATAGATTGTATTACTCTTATTTTGTATTTGTGAACTGCTCTGCTTGCTGTTCATGATATACTTCTACTTATTTCATTTAACCAACTTTTAGGCTTTTGGCTTAGATCACAACACTAAATTAATGCGGTTTAGGAGAATATATTTATCATTTCAAATATCTGTCTTTAGAAAATCAAATCCTTCAAATTTGGCAATTAAGGAAAAAGATAAATATGATCCTATTCTTACTCTCTACTGACTTACAATTCATTTTTATTTTCTTCGGCAGAAAAGGGGCACGTTATAAAAGAAACCCTTCCAGAAAACCATAAATTCTGTTAAGACATTTTTCTTAACCTAGTTCAGCAGCTGACGTAAGCATCTGACCAGAAGCCCAGTAAAAGCTACAATGGAAACTTGCAACCAAGAAACTTTTGCAGTCTTTTCGCTATGGGTTACTAATTGAATGACCTTGGCAACTAACCTGGCCTCCCCGAACCTGTTTTCTCATTTTCAAACTGAGATAACAACTTTTCCATTCAGGTGTGATGAGACCAAACAGTAAAAACAAAGGGCTAGGTTCACATGTGGCATTACCAGCAGCTAATCTGAGAGCCTGATATTGCTTAAGGAAAAACAGTTTAAAGACTAAGGAAAAGGAGACAAAGAGACCCCACAGGTGTCACCTCCGCTGGCCTCAGTTCTTTAACAGCTACCGAAAAAAGTCTTTCCAGGGGACACCCTTTCTTTTAATTGAAAAACAAGTGTTCGCTTTGAATGAGTTTTTTTACTAATTAACAGAAAATTCCATTTCTCCCAACTGCTTCTTCTCTCTGTCTGCAAGAGTCAAATTTTAGGCATCACCAAGAGCCAAGCAGAGTAAGCAGGAAGGTGACGGAGGCCCTCTACTCTGGGCCACGCCGGGCCCCCTCCGGACCCCCTCCAGCACCTCCCAGCCCCCTCCGTCTCCCCCTGCCCCCTCCGACACGTTTGCGCGTCTTGAGGCGTGGCTTCCGGTAACGGAGGCGTGTCTTCCGGTCGTCCTCGGCTCACCTCTTTTCCGGGGCGGGACTTCCTGTCCATCACATCTAGGCGCCGGGCTGCAGGACTGGTAGGAGGCCGGGACTGGAAGGTCAGTCTAGATGGCTAGGCTCTATGTTCCTCGAAAGGGCGCCCTGGAGGACGCTCTTTCTCGTTTCTCTTTCTTGCTTTTCTGTCCACGCGACGCTTTCTTTTGCGTTGACACCCTGTGTTTTTGGCACCACCGCCCACCTGAGGCTCTTCCGCTTCCTCTTTTCCCAGGCTCCGCCTCCGGCGTCCTGTGGCCATGACGACCGCTTCTCGGGACTCTGTGGTGTGGAAGCTCGCGGGGCTGCTGCGGGAGTCCGGTGAGTGGACTTCCGGTTGAACTGGGCCTTAGGAGAGGTGGGATTCTCCTCACCTTCCGGAGACACGCCCTGAATCACGGAGTTGTGTCTAACACGCGTTACGAGGTGTCAGAGTTCATTCATATCGTTAGTCCTCCAGAGTTTGTTAGCTGTTTGCAATGCCCTTCGACTCTGACAATGTAAATTCTAGCCTTCCATAGAGACCAGGCTCCAGTATCACTTCCTCCACGCATTCTCTTTATACTCTCAAAGGGAAATAAATGATCCTTACTTGACTGTAATCCTCTGTACACCAGGGACAGATCATAATCGTTGTTGTATAGCAAGGCACCAAGTATGGTACTTTATAAAGTTAAAATAGCATGAGATTTGAAGTCAAAGCCACCTAGGTTGAAACCTTAACCGTCTTTCAAACTTGGTCAATTTGTTTAAAGTTTTCTGAGCCTCAGTTTTTTTTTCAACAGAAATCTGACAAAATTATTGTACTTAACTAGAAAGTTTTGGGGAATTCATTTTAATTCACGTAAAGCATTTAGTACCATGTATACACATGTAGTGACTGTTCAAAATTGGAAACTCTATTGTTATAGTTGCCTGGGCACAGTGAAACTTCAGAATTTCAGTAGTTGTTCACAAGCCTTGGCTTTGAGACCAGAAAGAAGCAGCCACTCCTACCAGTCATATGAGTGCAATCAAGATTCTTTGTGACTCAGTTTTCTCTTAAGAGGAAGTTAATAGTGCTTCACTTTGGGAGATTCTGATGAGGTTTAAATGAGGTAACACAGTCATTTGGCACATGTTACCCAGTTAAGTTTAGTTGTCCTCTCTCTCACTCTGCACTCCCATTGATGGTATCTGTGGAATCTATCTTTATAGCAGTGGTATTTTCTGGTTTGTATTAATAACTGTGCACACGTCTTATCTCTTCTAGACTGGGAGGCTCTTTGAGGGTGGGAAGAGCCCTTGAACCATGTCTGTATCTATTCTTAGTGTCTGGTACATAGAAAATCCTTCATGCAAGTTGTAGGAATTGTTTATTTATTCAGCAAAAATGTGATGTGTCTCCAGGGGTTAGAAATAATGGGAAGTGTGAATGTGTGACTATGAAAGTAGTAGTGAGAGGCAGATCTTTTTGGTGTTGGAATAGTTTTATATCTTGATTGTAGTGGTGGTTGCATGAATCTCCACAAATAGCATAGAACTGTGTAACTGCACAGTGTGTTGTGGCAATATCAAATTTTTAAAGTTTTAAATAACTTATTACAATACATTGTTATAGTTGTTTTATTTTATAATTAATTATTGTTAGTAATCTCTTTTTGGTCTTAATTTATAAATGAAACTTTATCTTAGTTACTTGTTTATAGGATAAAACCATGGCACATATGTAAAGAGCTCTAGACGATTCATGATCTCAGTCATCCACTGAGGGTCTTAGGAAGTATTCCTTGTGGATGAGGGGGACTGTTGTAATAAAATCTCTACTTGTATTTGAAAAACTGCTTCCTGATTAAAATTCAGAAGATTTTATAGTGGGAAACAGTTTTACTTTGATGATGATAATCAATTAATTGTATTAAAACTGACCCCCATGATTCTGCACCAAGCAATACCAATTTTTGATATTGACATTGTACTATAGATAAATAAAACATAAACATTGGGTGGAGGGTATAGTATTTCTGTAACATCCTTTGACTATCCTTATTTTCTAGAAAGTTTTTAAAAAATTCTCCATATGTAGCTTATAACTGCACTTTAAAAAGTATTTTTAGGGGCTGGAGATATAGCTCAGTTGGAGAGTGCTTGCCTTACGTGTAAAAGGCCCTGGGTTCATTCCCCAGCACTACAAAAAAAAAAAAAGTATTTTTAGTTGTAGATGGACACAATACATTTACTTTATTTATTTATTTATTTTTAATTTTTTTTTTTTGTAGTTAGGCCCAGTACCTCTATTTTATTTATTTATTTTTATGTGGTGCTGAGGATTGAACCCAGCACCTCGAATGTGCTAGGCGAGTGCTTTACTGCTGAGCCACAACCCCAGACCTTATTTATTTATTTTTATGTAGTACTGAGAATCAAACCCAGTGCCTCACACATGGTAGGCAAGAGCTGTACCATTGAGCTACAATCCCAACCCCATAACTACACTTTTTTTAGGACCAGTGACAAGTACCAGGGTGACAAAAAGATTTGCTCAAGGATGACAGTCTCATTAGAGAGCAGTTTTAACATAGAGTAATAATACCGTAGCACTTTAAATATATGATTATTTTCTGACATGCATTTTAGTACTATTTGAAAGTTTCTATAAATGTACATGTTATTTTTGCAATCAGAAAAAGAAATCAACATAAAATGTCCATTTGACTTTTATGTAAAATTGAGTTAATGCAGCATAGAAAGCTTAGCAGTGTTACTTATTGCGAAGGTTTGAGAAGGGAAAGACCCTTTCAATATACTCTCCTTTCTGTCTGCCCCTCTCCTTGCAGGGGATGTGGTCCTGTCTGGCTGTAGCACACTGAGCCTGCTGACTACCACACTGCAGCAACTGAACCGTATATTTGAGCTATACCTGGGGCCATGGGGTCCTGGTCAGACAGGCTTTGTGGCTCTTCCCTCCCACCCCGCCGACTCCCCCATCATCCTCCAGCTTCAGTTCCTCTTCGATGTGCTGCAGAAAACGCTTTCACTCAAGGTTCTGTGGGTGGATATGGGTCAGGATGTGCAAAGAGCTGGGGGGAATGATAGAGACTGGGGGTGGGGTAATGGTGCTGAGAGTCTGCAGGGCTGAAATCCAGATGATGCCAGAGGCGTGGGTGGTTGTGCTGAGAGAGGGATGCTAATGAAAGGGATGCTAACGAAAAGGATGCTGTGCCTCAGTAACCTGAAATATTTTTCTTGTAGCTGGTCCATATCCCTGGTCCTGGCCTCCCAGGGCCCATCAAGATCTTTCCCTTCAAGTCTCTTCGGCAGCTGGAGGTATGGGGGGTGTTGGGGGATGTCATTGTACAAAATCCAATGTGAAGTATTCATTTGGGGCTTGGGATAGAGAGTTGGCCTCTTGGAGGAGAGGCTAGGCATGAGTGTACCCCTGCTCTGCAGTAATGTGGTATCAGTACTCTTCCATTTAATGTTTCCCTGAACCATAGCTGGGCTTTGTCATCTTCTCCCTTTTCCCCATCCTGGGAGATAGGCATGAGGTGCTTGTCTTCTGTGCAGTTCTGCCTCCCCCCTCCTTTCCGTTTTTGCCCTAGCTCCGAGGTGTCCCCCTCCACTGCCTGCATGGCCTTCGTGGCATCTACTCCCAGCTGGAAACCCTGATTTGTAGCAAGAGCATCCAGGCACTAGAGGTGAGGAGAGTGAGGGGTGGGCCCCGATGCTCTGTCCTGGGAGACACAGAAAACCAAGCTCTGAGGGCTGAGGGCGTAACTCAGTGATAGAGCACTTGCCTGGCATGCTCAAGGACCTGGGTTACATCCTTGGCACTGCAAAAAACTCAAATAAATAATCAAAAAACCAGAAAACAAAACAAAGCTCAGATATTCTCTCTTGCTCCCTCCTGTGATCTTGTGTCCTCGCTGCCTCCCCTGTAACTCCACAGCATTCATGCTGTATTAAACATTCTGGTGTGTACTTTCTTACTCTTTCCATAGTATAGTCCTTGGGGACAGGGATCTGGGTTTTCTTTGAGTCCAAATGAAGTCTGGTATATAAAGAATGAATGAATGATAGAGTATGGTGTGGGCAGGAGGGTGAGGGGACTAATGAGGTGCTTTGCTTGTCTCCTGCCCAGGAACTCCTCTCAGCCTGTGGTGGTGACCTTTGCTCTGCCCTCCCCTGGCTGGCTTTGCTTTCTGCCGACTTCAGCTACAATGCGCTCACCGCCTTGGACAGCTCCCTGGTGAGTTCCTCAGAGGGAAGGTGGCTTTGGGCAAGGGCAAGGTTGGGTCTTTAGGGAGGAGGGCTTGCTGGTCAATGAGGTGACCTTGTATGAAGATCTGTTCTCTGCTTCCTCTTTCCATCCTCCTCAGCGTCTCTTGTCAGCTCTGCGCTTCTTAAATTTGAGCCACAATCAAGTCCAGGACTGCAAAGGCTTCCTGATGGTGAGTGTGAGCAGCTGGTGGCTGGCACATTTGGGCCTTGAATTGCTCTGTTCCCACCACGCTTCTGGACCCACTGGTCCTTTCCTTGTGCTTGCCTTCTGGGTGAAGCCACACCCTTCTGGTAGTGTTGGGCTCTAGATAAGACAAGGCACAGCTTGAATCTCAGTATCTAACACCTGTGTGACTTGGATTAAATAAGCTAGCTTGTTGGTTTGTTCCCTATGAAGTAGAAATTGTAGGAATACCTATTTTTGTATAGATGGTTGTAAAGAGTGCCCGCTGTAACTTAGCGTATTGCCCAGTTCCTTTTGTGGTGATGATGGAACCCTTCTGTATCTTTTTGTCCTTGTGAAGGATAAACAAAGCTGGGTATTAAAAGTGGTAAGAACAGATTTTAACCAGTCATACAATAAACTATTGCAATAGGGAAGAGGATTCAATGTGAACTGAATTCCACTTTAAAAAAATTTTTTAATTTGTTTTAATTAGTTACACATGACAGTAGACTTCGTTTATGCACTTTGATATATCATAAGTAGATGGGATATAATTTCTTATTTTTCTGATAGTACATGTTGTAGAATCACATTGGTCATGCAGTCACATATATAGATAGAGCAATAATGTCGGTTTCATTCTTTTATCCTTCCTGTCCCCACATTTCCTCCCTTCACTTCCCTCTACCTAATCTAAGGTAACTCTATTCGTCTCTAGTCTCCTCGCCCCCAGTTGTGAATTAGCATCAGCATACTAGAGAAAACATTCGGCTTGTGTTTTTTGGGGATTGGCTTATTTCGCTTAGCATGATATGCTCCTACTCCATCCATTTACTGGCAAATGCCATAATTTTATTCATTAAAGCTGAGTAATGTTCTATTGAATATATATACCACATTTTTTTTTATCCATTCATCTAAAAACCACCTAGGTTGGTTTCATAGTTTAGCTATTATGAATTGAGCTGCTATAAACATTGATGTTGCTGCATCACTGTGGTAAGTCCTTTGGGTATAAACCAAGGAGTGGTATAGCTGGACCAAATGGTGGTTCCATTCCAAGTTTTCTGAGGAATATCCATACTGCTTTCTATAGTGATTGTACCAGTTTGCAGCCTCACCAGAAATGTATGAGTGTACTTTTTTCCCCACATACTTGCCAGCATTTATTGTTGCCTATATTTTTGATGATTGCCATTCTGACTGGAGTGAGATGTAGTTTTGATTTGCATTTCTCTAATTGCTTAGACATTGAACACTTTTTCATATATATGTTGATTGATTGTATTTCTTCTGTGAAGTATCTGTTCAGTTTTCTTAGCCCATTTATTGATTGGGTTATTAGGTTTTTTTGGTGGTTTTTGAGTTCTTTATATATTCTAGAGATTAATGGTTTATTGAAGGTGCATGTGGTAAAGATTTTCTCCCAATCTATAGGCTCTCTCCTCACATTGATTATTTCTTTTGCTAAGAAGAAGCTTTATAATTCGAATCCATCCCATTTATTGATTCTTGATTTTACTTCTTGTGCCTTAGAGGTCTTGTGAAGGAAGTCAGATCCTAGGCCCACATGGTGAAGATTTGGGCCTACTTTTTCTTCATTAGGCATAGGGTCTCTGTTCTAGTACCTAAGTCTTTGATCTACTTTATTTTTGTGCAGGATGGGAGATAGAGGTTTAATTTCATTTTGCTACATAGGATTTCCAGTTTTGCCAGCAGGATACAAAATCAACACCCATAAATCAAACACATTCCTATACATCAAAGATAAATCCACTGAATTCCACTTTGATTCATGCAGAGATGCCTAGATGTTTTAAATAAATAATAGGGGAAGTGGGGGCTTACAATCAGGGAAGTAGAAAGCAGGAAAGGGGATGTTGTCTGAATCAAACCCATCTGAATTTGCTAATTAACTGGCACTTATCAAAGTTAAGTCCTTGCCCTCCCACAGAGGCTGGGAGATAGACTGTCTTCAAAGGTTGGCTGGAACAAACAGGACATTTTGTTTGTATTCTTGAGTTTTCCCAGGCAGGAATTTCAGGAGGTTGGAGTCACCATCCTTGGGTGCAACCTGGAGCTGTTAGGAACTATACTAGTGTTTGTTCAGGTCATTTAATGTGGGGATCAATGTGGGTGAAATCGTTTGTGCTGAGAATTTGCAGCTTTCATAGGTAGAATGGGAAGGCCATGTCCAGAAGGCCCAGAGGACCCTAACTAGAGTTTGGTCAAGGTGAGAACCTTTGTCCTCCCTGTCCCGCTGAAGGATTTGTCTGAACTCTACCATCTGGACATCTCCTATAATCGCTTGCACTTGGTACCAAGAATGGGACCTTCAGGAGCTGCTCTCGGGATCTTGATACTGCGAGGCAATGAGCTTCGGAGCCTACAAGGTGAGTGGGAAGTGTGATGGGGCACATGTGGAGGTGAATGGGAGGAAATACAAGGCTTGAGGTAGCCCAGGGACCATATGGCTAAGGCACTCTGATTTGTCTATTTCCTGTACCCTCCCCCAGCACACCCACCACCATACCCATGCACTCACTCCAACACTATTCCTCCCTTCTCACTTCCACCCCAGGCTTGGAGCAACTGAGGAACCTGAGACACCTGGATGTGGCATACAACCTGCTGGAAGGACACAAGGAGCTGTCACCTCTGTGGCTGTTGGCTGAGCTCCGCAAGGTGACATGGATGCTTCAAGGGTTCAGGAGCCACTTTTGTGCCTGGTCCTCCTATGGAGGTCAGTGCTTTCTTCCCACAGGAGGAACCCCAGGCCCTCCTCATTCTCTTCTCCTTCCCCTCAGCTCTACCTGGAGGGGAACCCTTTGTGGTTCCATCCTGCCCATCGTGTGGCCACCGTCCAGTACTTATCACCCCGGGTTAGGGATGCTGCCCACAGCGTGAGTGATTGTCTTGTGTCCACTCTGCTTCCCCTTTTCTCCAAATCCTACCCCACCTCTGTGCCCTCTTGCCATCTCGGGTCCCTGTTGTCTTTTAATACCTGAACTCCTTGGTGATGGCTCTACCGAAAGCCCTCCTCCTCTTCCATTGTCTTTGTGCAGTTCCTTCTTGATGGCGAGGTCTTGTCACTGAAGGATTTTCAGGTCAGTGAGGTGGGGTAGTGGAGCAGGATGGCAAGGCTGATGGGTGAAGGCATGAAGGGAGGGTGTTAGAGGGGTGACAGAAGTGGCTGGTGACTTCCTCTCTCCAGTGGCTGGAAAGTAGGGTCTGCTTCTTGGCAAAGTTGGGTGGGGCAGAGGTGTTCCGCTGAGCACCTCTCACTTCTTCCTGTTGTCACACACCAGACCCCTGCATCTTCAGGGCTTGGCCCCATGGTCCTACCTCTGCCCTGGCCGGTGGGGAGTACCACTGAAACTTCAGGTGGTCCTGAGCTGAGTGATAGCCTCTCTTCAGGGGGCATCATGGCCCAGCCCCTGCTGCGTAAGGTTAAGGTAAGTGTCATCCTTGCTGCTTTGTGCCTGGGGTTGGGTCTTTTTGTGGAGACTCTGGGTTATTGATGGACTGACAGTAGTAGGGCCTTTTCCTTGCTAGTAGTTGTGTGGTTTTGGTAAGATGGGTGGGTGTCAATGGAGGGCAGGGCTGGAGGCCTGGCTGATGTAGAACTGTGTCCCTCTGCCCAACCCAGAACCGAGTCCGGGTGAGGCGGGCAAGCATCTCAGAGCCCAGTGATACAGATCCGGAGCCCCGAACTCTGGATCCCTCTCCTGCCGGTAAGTTAGCTTCACCTAATCGCCAGCTCCTACTCTGCTCCAGCTCTCTCTAGTCTTGATAAAGATCTATGAAGGCCTGGTCGGAGAAATTTGATTTTTCTGGCAGTATGAAGCACTGCAAAGGTATTTTTAGTCTGTCTTTTAAGTTTAAGGAAAGGAGAAGGAACTGCTCCTGGGTAGCATTTTCTAAAGCTTTTCAGGGAGCATTAACTTTGAGGGGCATCAAAAGGTCATAATAAAAGGATTTTGTGGCCAGGTAAGTTTGGGAAGTGCTAGGTTAAACAAAAAAATAGATTTCTTTCCTGTGGGCCATCTCGGGGCTTTACTTATGTTACTGTGTTTGTGGCTCTTTAGAAGTAGCAAAGTGCAGTTGCTCATTGTGTGACCATAGTGTTACATAGGACATGCTTGGGGACTTGCTGCTGGGAGGGAGCCTGCAGTCCTCCCATTGCTTTACATTGAGGAGTACTCATAGAAAGAAGCTGGGGTCTTTGGGGTAGGGGCTGGGGCCTGCTCAGCTGTGCATCTTACCCTCTTCCCCCAGGGTGGTTTGTACAACAGCATCGGGAACTCGAGCTCCTGAATAGTTTCAGGGAGCGGTTTGGCTGTGACTGGCTGCAGTATAGGAACCACCTGGAGACTTCTGGGAGCCCCCATCTGGCCACGTCCAAGACTCCTGACCTTAGCACCCCTCTGCTGGATGCTCTGGGTCCAGAGACTCTACCTGGTCCCCTGGCCCCAGAGAAGGAAGCCAGAGGTCCTGAGGAATCACCACATAAAATGTCTGAAGAGGGTAGGGTGGAGCTGGAGCCCCAAGAGGAAGATAGGGAGGAAGAGGAAAAAGAAGAGGGAGCAAAGGAGGGACAGGAGGAAGAAGAGGAACAGGAATGGAAGGAAGTAGAAGGTGAGCATCTTATGACTATGGGGCAGGCTGGGGCCAGCCAGTGTTTCAGTGTCCAGGAGATTTCAGAACAACCATGGCCACTCATGGGAGGCAGAGACTCTGGGTTCATTTCATTCCTCCAGGGCTTTTCTCTTGGTCTCTCCACAGCGGAGCTCTGCCGCCCTATGTTGGTGTGCCCTTTGCAAGGGCCTGAAGGTGTGCAGGGCCGGGAATGCTTTCTCCGGATCACTTCCACCCACTTGTTTGAGGTAGAACTCCAGGCAGCTCGAACCTTGGAGCGGCTGGAGCTGCAGAGTCTGGTAGTGGCTGAGCTAGAGCCCGAGATGAGAACCCAGAGAGAGGCGGTGCCTGAGGTGAGTGGCACCTCCAAGACTCCTGACTCTAGCACCCCTCCACTGGATGCTCTGGGTCCAGAGACTCTACCTAGTCAAGTGTGGGTAGGGTCCTGGAAGAGGCCCTGGGCTTTTTCAGGAGTCAGCTGACAACATGGTGGTGTTATATGCCAGCACCAGACTGAGTGTTTCCCACCATCTCTTGTGGGCACTTGGAGCCTAGGAGAGGTACTTCAGGGGCCTGGAGCATGATGGCAAGCTGTGTAGGAAGCTGGGCAGAGGAGGGGATCCTTGCCCAAGACTTGGGTGTCAGCTCCAGCATTTAAATGGGGTCTGCAGTTATTTCTCTTCTCCATATTCCGTATAACCATAACTCCCTACCTCCTATTGTTTTCTTCTGCTTTCTCCTTCCCATGCAGGGCTCAGGTCTGCTTCCTGGGGCCCCCATACTTGTGTTGCGCTTTTCCTATATTTGCCCTGACCGGAAGTTGCGTCGCTATGTGGTTCTGGAATCTGATGCTCATGCAGCTGTCCAGGTGATGGGGACCAGGAGGCTGTAGGGGAGATGAGAAGAGCCCCAGGCAGCAGGTCCGGGAGTCTGTTCTGAGGTCTGCCTGCTCACAGCTGCCTTCTGCTTGCCTTCTTTCAGGAGCTACTTGCTGTGCTAACCCCTTTCACCACTGTGGCACAGCAGCAGCTTAGGGAGGCCAGGGACCCACTGGGGACCAGATTCCAGTGTCTGCGTTGTGGCTGTGTGTTCAAGCCAGAGGAGACTGGGTTGGGACCGGATGGTGAGGAAGGCTGGAGGCCTTTGTTCCAAAAGACAGGTACTAACCTTGCCCCTGACCTCCTTGCCAGCACAGCTTCCCCACTTCAGGGAAGGCAGCTCTGAGTGGGGGAGTGTAGAAGAGCAGCCCCAGGGAGGAAGGCCTAGAGTAATGGGGACCAATCATTCTACCAGAAGGAAAAGTAAAACTACTTGTCTGCTATGTTTATAAAAAAAGAAATCTGAAAAAGATGGAACTACATCTTGGTTTTTTCCTCTCTTAGTGAGGAAATATAATCCCCAACCATGCTTAAACATACTCATTAATTTTTCATAACTTGCAGGCTTTTTGGGTATTTTTGGCTAATATTTCAGAAATAACATAAAATCCAGTGAGCCTTTACTGTAGAGTCAGGTTGCTATGCTGCCCTCTGAGAATGGCTTTGGGAGTTGATGTAGTTTGTCTTTGCCTGACTGACCATGTAAGCTACTTAATAACAAACGACCTTGTGGCATCTCTTCATATTCTGTTCTTTAAAACAAGTTCCTCCCATTGTGGACCAATCAAAAAGCCAAGTCTTTGAAAACAGGAATATTCTGGCTAATAGTTATGTTAAATGACTTTTTTTGTTTTGTTTTGTTTTTCTTTTGTAGCAGGGATTAAGCTCAGGGACACTTAACCACTGAGCTACATCTCTAGCCCATTTATTTATTTATTTATTTGTTTGTTTGTTTATTTTGAGACAGGGTCTCTCTAAGGGTCTTGCTAAATTGCTGAGGCTAGTTTTGAACTTGTGGTCTTCCTGCCTCAGCCTCCCCAGTTGCTGGGTTACAAGTGTACACTACTGTACTTGGCAAAACATTGTTTTTTATTAGTCACTTTTTTCTTAGCAGTAGCTCCAGCAGAACATTAAGATGTAATTCAGAAAATTGAGCCCTACCCTGCTCCCCTCCCAGAGCCTGCCCAGGTGACTATAGCCCAGTAGCTCCAGTGGCACATATGCAAGTGGAAATAGTCCCACTCCTTCCTGGGCCCTGGCTGTACTCCACAGACCCTGCAGCCTCTGGGGTCACCCCTGAATGTTCATTACTAATGAACATTACCATGTGCTGCATGCTCATTTGATCTGGACTCCAGTTACCTCATCTGAACAAAAGAAAATGACCCCCCCCACCACGATGCTCTTACAAGATTTAAATGTGACAGTGCTGAGCACAGTGCCTGACACAAAACAAAGTCCCTCATATATGGTGACTGCTGTTATTATTAGTCTGTGTAAATTATCTGATCTTTCCTCATTTTCAAAATGGGATGGGGAGAGTTTTGATGGGGCTGAGATGTGATAATATGGTGTGGGAGCTAGCACGCACCTAGCATCTCGAAGCTGTCCTTATTGATCCATGTCCTGAATTCTTTACCTGCTTCCACTCAGCTGACCCACCAACCCTGTAAGATAACACTGTTTTCATGCTCATCTGATCGGTGAGGTTCAGAGCAGAGATGACTGGCCTGATTATAGAGCCATTGCAGTGGAGTCTGGAATAGAATCCACATCTGGTACCAGAGTCCTCCCTGCCTTTCCCAGTCTCTTCATTTGGTTTTTCAGACATTGATGCCAGAATACTGAAGTACTTGGTCAGCCCAAGGCTGTGGGACCGGACCAGATCAGGCTCGTTGAGTTTAACCCTATCAATCTGAGAGAGCCTAGAATTAGAAGCCAGGGTGTATTTTGAGGAGATTGTGGGCCATAGGTCAGCTCAGTCCCCATTGGGATGGGTGTCATCCATCAGTGACTATGCCTGGAGAGGGAGTTGGGGATGATTTGGGAATAGTGCTCACGTAAGAAGCTTAGATGTGGCCCTGGGGATTCCAAGAGTAGCAGGTGTACTGTGAGTGTTTTGGGGGTATGCTGTGTGAGCAGGCTTCTAGGACTTGTGTCCATATTTCTATCCAGAATCTCCTGCTGTGTGTCCTAGCTGTGGTAGTGACCATGTGGTTCTCATGACTCTGTCTGAGGAAACCTCCAACAGGGAGCAGAATCATGGACAACAGTCACCAGTTTCCTCTCAGTCTTCTAGTCCTGTCTGTGACACTCCTGGCCACAGTGACCACCCCAGCAGTGCTGATATCGTCCCACCTCAGGCACCTATCTCCCATGGCCACAGCAGCTGGAGCCTCAGTCCATGTGAGTATAGGCAAAGCAAGATTGGGATGGCTTAGGGGAGGGAAGGGGCAGCAGAGATGGGGCTGGGAGTAGGCTGATGGCTCACGGGTTGCCCCCAGCCCCTGAGCGCTGTGGCCTCCGCTCTGTGGACCACCGACTCCGGCTTTTCCTGGATGTGGAGGTGTTCAGCGATGCCCAGGAAGAGTTCCAGTGCTGCCTCAAGGTCTGTGTCACCTGGTACTGCCCATGCCCCTAACTGACCATGGTATCTACTGTCTCCATTGCTCCAAAGGGAGCCTGACCAGGTGCTTGGGAACCACCATATCTGGCTTCCGGTTTCACTTGTAGCAGTTCCCTGCTGTGTGGTGGTAGACACATTCCTCATGACCTCAGTCATCCCCCTCACAATGGAGATAATGCTTCCTGTCTTACACAGTATGGTGGTTGAGAGCTAGTGTCTGTCAGCTGCTCAGCATGGCACCTGGCACTAATACATGGGGCCTCTAGTCATTACAAATGCACCGTGTCATTAGACTCTTCTATTGACACCTGATGTGTACTGGACACTAAGGATTCATCTTGACCTTAGTCTTGGAGTCTGGTGTGAGGAACTGACAATATCATGCAATGTGTATATGCCGTAATGGGGTAAGGTCTCAGGAGGGGTGTTTGATGCCGCCTGAGTGGGCCAGGAAGCCTCCCTGGAGGATGCTGTTGAAGCCAAGCCTTGACAGATGAGCAAGGAGTAGGAAGGAGAAAGAATTACAGGTGGAGAAAATAGCAAACGCATAGAGGCTTGAGAGACTGGCCTGTGGGGAGAGCTGCGGGGGTAGGGAGCCCGTGTGAGAGGGGCAGGTGTCCCTAGGTGAGTCTGTTCGGGAGCAGGTTGGTGTGTCTGTTAAGGAGTTTGGACTGGATCCAGGAGCTATCACAAGCCACCTCAGCATTTGAGGCAGGAAGTGATGATAAGTTTTGTGATTAAAAGACAATCTGGCAGAGTATGGAGGGCAGGTCAGAGGGCCCAGATAAGGGTCACGGGGACCAGTCAGGAGACTACCAGGGGATTTAAGTGAGGGTGGTGCTGTGGATGGAGAGTAGTGGGACTCGAGGTCATTGTGACACTGATTAGTGGTGGGGAGAGCAGCTCAGCTTTTGGTATGGTACTTGCTTTTCTGGTTCTCTTATTTTGGTTTCTCATCAACTTTCTCTTCTCCTTAGGTACCAGTAGTATTAGCAGGTCACTCTGGGGAATTTCTGTGTCTTGTGGTCGTGTCTGATCATAGGCTTTACCTGTTGAAGGTGACAGGGGAGATCTGGTGAGTGAGCCAGGTGTGTGGCCAGGGCAGCATTGGGGTCTCCCTGTCATTCTCAGTCTGTCCTTATTCTTGGTCACTCTGTACCCCTTCCACAGCGGGCCTCCAGCTAGCTGGCTCCAGCCGACCCTGGCCATTCCCCTGCAGGATCTGAGTGGCATGGAGCTGGGCCTGGCAGGCCAGAGCCTACGGCTGGAGTGGGTGACTGGTGTGGGTAGCTGTGTTCTGCTACCCCGAGATGCCAGGTGTTGCCGGGCTTTCCTGGAAGAGCTCATTGGTGAGATAGAGGCATCGAGGGTGGGGTAGGGAGGCCAAATGGGACTCACCTCTTTTAGAGGTTTCTGAAACCCAATACAATGGAGAATAGACAGGTGTTGAAAATTGGAGAGCTTGGGATAGAGGAGAGCAGAGCTTTCAGAGGGTTCCTTGTCTCTGGCTGGCTCTTTTCAGGTGTCTTGCAGTCTCTGCCCCCTACCCAGAGGAACTCTGTCATTGCTACAGAGGAGGAGGTAACCCCGCAGCACCGGCTCTGGTGAGTAGACAGGACTGGGTGGGGGTTGGTTCCCAGGCCCTCTCCACAGATTCCAAACATGGTCCTATGCTAGACAGGCCCTGAGCCTGCCCCCATCCTTGGGTACACACCTCCCCACAGGCCCTGAGCTCCTCCTGACCCATTCCCTCCCTTGAAGCCCTTCCTACACTGGCTGACCCTCTTCCTGTGTCTGCCACGGCTCCCAGGCCATTGTTGGGACAAGTCGCTTCCTCAGAGGCTCCCCAGTTCTTCTATCTTCGGGCATTCTTGGTTGAAGGTGAGGCCGCCATGCTGCAGGTATCCTTGGTCTCTGTATCCTATCTCATCCAGTCTCTGTATCCTATCTCAGCCAGCCCCCATGCCTCCACAGCACCCCGATAACAACTCTCATTTTCAGGAATCTGGAATCCCCCTCATGGGTGTACCCACACAACAGCTGGGTGTTCTCTGTTTCTCTGTTTGGGTGGGGCCCTCAGTAGCTTAGAGACCTTTGCTTTGGCGTCCAGTCTTCCCTGATGTGGGCCAGTTGGCTGGGTCTGTTCCCTTCATCCCTTCAGAAAGGCTAGATGGGTCCTTGCTTCTGTTCAGGGCAACTGGTGGGGTGGGCTCTCTTTGTCTCACCTCTCAGAGGTTTTGGAAGTAGGGATTCCTGGAGTTTGGGAAGGGGAGGGCTTTGGTCCCCAGGGCACAAGCTCCTTTGTGGCCCATTCCTGAAGAGGTTCGTACCTCTTCTGAGCAGTGCTAGGACACTGTCCTCCAGGGATCCAGGCCTTCCATAGCTTTTTACTCTGGGCCTCACCTTGCCTCTCTTCCTCTAGGTCCCTCTACCTGCCCTATTTCCCTGTTGCTGACGCTGACGACTCTTTACCTGTTAGATGAGGACCCTGCAGGGTCCCAGGAAGAGCCCCGACTCGCAGGAGCATCTGGTGAAGCCTCTGAGAAGGCCCCTCCCTTGGTCCTGGGCCCTTCTGTGCAGGTCAGGGAGCAGCAGCCACTCAGCAGCCTGAGCTCTGTGCTGCTCTATCGGTTGGCCCCTGAGGACCTGCAGCTGGTCTTCTATGACGAGGTGTGTGTGTGTGTGTGTGTGTGTGTGTGTGTGTGTGTGTGTGTCTCAGATGCAGAAAGAGAGGAAGAGGGTGTGTGTATGTGTGTGTACACACACATGTGCTCACACTGGAGATGGGCAGTGTGGAAATGGGTTTAGGAAGGCTGGGAATTGGTGGGAGAATGGAGCTGAGGGAGGAGCAGGCACAGTGAAGGGAACGCAGAATTAGGGTGTAAAGAATCAGAAGTTCCTTGGGTTTGAATAAGAAGCAACTAGAGAGCATGGCAGCTGTAGACAGTGGGAACATCTGGCCTTGGAGCCCTTTATTAGCTAGGGAGCCTTTAGGGAGACATTTGGCTGCTGTGAATTTGTGTAATCACCTCTCTGTTTGACCTTTATAACTACCAGGTAAGGAGGAGATATTATTATTGGTACTGTTTTACAGATGAGGAAACTGAGACTTGAGGACATTAACCAACTTGCTCAGGTCACAAGTGATAGGGCCAGGAATCGAACCCACTCAAATCCTTGGAATTGATTCCAGAACTTGTATTTTGTGTAGCAGGGAAGATTAGAGATGAGACAGTGATGGAAAGCCCTCTAGCAGCTTGGTTGGACTCTTATCTTCAAGGCTCAGGGTCAGCATCTTTTATGGGGAATGACATAGGCTTGGGGGTTGGGAGAAAAACAATGAGCCAAGGAGGGTGGTGGTCCTTCCCTGAGACCTTCTTGTCCCCCTGTGCATCTCACCTTGCTAACTGCTTGGCCTGCCAGGTGTCTCGGCTGGAGAGTTTCTGGGCACTCCGTGTTGTATGTAAGGAACAGCTGACAGCACTGCTGGCCTGGATACGGGAGCCCTGGGAGGAGTTGTTTTCCATTGGACTTCGAACTGTGACCCAGGAGGCTCTGGACCTGGACCGATGACTTCCACGCTGACCCTAGCCCTGACCTCAGGAGCTAGGCTGCAGAGATTCCCTCTCTTGGTCTCCGAATCTGTCTTCCAGACTCTGATTGTAGACTTCTCCAGTCTTTGGGCATTTTTCAGTGACCTATGGCTGAAGGGAAGGACAAGAAAAATGATCTGGCCTGAGGGGACAGGCTAAATGGTCAGTGGGAATGTTTCTCACACACTTTTTCTCAGGTATGAATAAAGTAGTTTGTATTGCAGATGTTGTGGAAGGTAGTTGAATGTGTCGTTCATAGAGTTGCCATTTCCCTGACTTTTTCTGAATGGGCATCCCTGAGCAGACTTTTTTTTTTTTATTATTTTAATTTTTAATATTTATTTTTTAGTTTTCGGACACAACATCTTTGTTTTTTGTATGTGGTGCTGAGGATGGAACCCTGGGCCGCACGCATGCCAGGCGAGCCACATCCCCAGCCCCCTGAGCAGACTTGTTTGTACTGAGACCCTGTCTCCAATCCTACTGTGGCCCCAGCTTATGGGATCAAGTAGGATTCCTGTCCCATGGGCACTCAGTCCTCCAGCTGGCAGCTTCCTGTCATATGGCTAGTCATCGAATCACTGCCAATTAAATAGCTGGGTCTCTTAGATTCTCACTCTTGAATTTCATTTGAGAACTAGTGAGGACTTCAGGCCATTGTGGAGGGTGTCTGGGGAAAGGAACTGTGGTATTGAGCTGTGGAGGGAGGGCTTGGCATCTGGAGTCTTCTGCTTTTGCCTTCTTATAGCAGTGCCTCACCCAGCCAATGGCTCCATTGGTTATCCCATTCCTTCACCTCTCCCTCTCTGTCTCGCCATGGTGATTAGCTCAGAAATGCTCTTGTGATCTGATGTGGCCCACCAACACCTAGTCCTGGTTTTGGCCACATCAGCTTACCCAAGAGGCCAGTTTCTTCCCTGAGAGTTGCTGAGAAGATAGGCTGGGGCCGCTAGCCATTAGGGGAAAACTTTCCTGAAAGTGGAATCATGCAGAGAGAGGAAGATGGAGCTGAGATGGAGAGAGTAGGATCAAAACCTGGGGTCCAGGCTGGGGATGTTGCTCAGGCCGTAGCGCGCTCGCCTGGCATGCGTGAGGCCCGGCCACATACAAACAAAGATGTTGTGTCTGCTGAAAACTAAAAAAATAAATATTAAAAAAACACACACACTCTCTCTCTCTCTCTCAAAAAAAAAAAAAAAAAAAAAAAAAAAACACCTGGGGTCCCTGAGTAAAGAAAACCTGTGTGTGTTTAAGCCAATATGAACCACTGGAAGGATCCTGATTAAAGAAACCCCCACTCCAATTTGAGCCAGCTGGGCTAGGGGATCTGTTTCTTGCACCCAAGAATAAACATGGTAGCAATAGTGTCACCCATATATTTGTATCTATAGGCCCTGGCTCTGGGTTCCTATTTGTGAGTGGCAGTGTGATTAATCCAGATAACTTTGGGTCAGGCAATTTAAGGCCTTGACCAGTTTGTGGCCTCAGTGCTTAGTAGGATAGGAGGGTAGGGGCTCTGTTACAGTTGGGGCCTTATACCTGGAACCGTGTCCTGGTCAGCCCACCATATCTCTAAGTCCTTGAGATCAAAGTATTTAAAAATTAGGAAGGGACATTTCAAAAGCTTTTTTTTTTTTTTTTTTTTTTAAGAGAGAGGAGAGAGAGAGAGAGAATTTTTTTTTAATATTTAGTTTTTAGTTCTCGGCGGACACAACATCTTTGTATGTGGTGCTGAGGATCGAACCCGGGCCGCACGCATGCCAGGCAAGCGCGCTACCGCTTGAGCCACATCCCCAGCCCCCAAAAGCTTTTATTCTAAAATTTATTGGGAGAGCTGAGAAGAAACAAACATTGTACCTAAATATAAAGCAAAAAGTGGGTTGCCTTTGTTGCTGCTGGTCTCTAAATTTGCTTTTCAGACAAACATATTGCTGATTCTTTGTGTATCTGTCCAGGAATTTCAATGTGTATACATTTCATGTGCATACTTTCCTCAGAAAAGGGTAGTTAAGCCATTCAACTTCCTAAAAAAAGATTGCTATTTAAGCTTAGTTACTCCCTAGATAGTGCCTTGTCTGGCTTGGCAGAAGGGTGGGGTGCTGTGGGCTAGGAACCAGCCAACTGGGAGAGGGGTAGAGGTCCCTTGGTAATAGGTCGAGCAGGGGCCTAGAGAGGCCTGTGTAGAAGCTCAGAAAATAAATTCACCTACTTCTACTTTGCTTAGAGCTGCCCTGAATTTTTTAATTGAAGCAAATTAAAACTTCCCAAATATATTAGTTCACTTTCTGGATGATGGCACATGGCTCCTTCCCGTCAGTGTTGTAGTCCTGAGGCCTTCCTGGCTTCTGGCCCAAAGCTATCCTTTATCACGGGGCCTCTTTGCAAGTACTTTTCCTTAAGCTGGGGGATCATGGCCCAACAATCGTCACTTATTTAGGGTGAATTGAGAAAAAGTGTGAAGTGGGAAAGCTGAAGGAGAAACATCTTCCAGTTCTTTGTGCTTCAGGTCTCTGTGAATGTCCTTGTTTTCTTCAATAATGCAGGAGTCTTCTGCAACCTCTGTGCAAAGGTGTTCTTTCTTTGATGGCCCAGAAGACAGGTATTATCAGGAGTAAAACCATTAGCATTCTTTAGTTTTGTGCCTTACCAGGAGCAGGGACCCTGATGAATGTACCTTCTTCCTAGATCCTGCTATACTCTGAGCAAAGGTGACAGCTTTTTTTTTTTTTTTTTTTTTGCGTCAGGCATTGAATCCAGAGGTGCTTAACTACTGAGCCACATCCCCAGCCCCCCCCTTTTTAAAAAATATTTTATTCAGAGATAGGGTCTCACTGAGGTCCTCGCTAAGTTGCTAAGGGTGGCTTTGAACTGTTCCTTCTGCCTCAGCTTCCCAGGAGGCTGGGATTATAGGTGTACCACTGTGCCCAGCAGGTGACAGCTTTTGCCACTGATGCTAAGCACAGGTGTCAGGAGATGCTCACCTCGCATATCCTGGACTTTCCCCAGAGATCGATTTGTCCATTCAGTCTGGCCTTTCCCCTCCCACAAATGCTAATCGATTGCCTGGCCTCTGTCTGGCCTTAGGCTAGCTTGGAAGGGTACACAGTGGAAGTCTCCCAACTCCTAGACAGCAGTGGAGAGAAAGGATTGGCTCACTTGAAAATGCCTCACACCGGGCTGGGGTTGTGGCTCAGAGGTAGAGTGCTTGCTTAGCATGCACAAGGCACTGGGTTCTATTCTCAGCATTATGTAAATGTAAAATAAAGATATTGTGTCCACCTAAAGCTTAAGAATAAATATTAAAAAAGAATGCATCATACCATGCTGTATCTTCTGTAGAAAGAAGGTGGAAAGGAATAAAATACATGTTTATATTTGCTTTTATTTGTGTAAGTAAATTCCAGAGTGATGAATAAAAAATGTTAGGAGATGAAGAGGAGAACAAAGCATAAGGGATGGGGTGGTACTGAGAGTTTACATTTTTATTAAAAATAAATAAAATGTAAACCCTCTGAATGTATTATAGATGCCAAAATTACATTTAAAAATTCATGAGACCCTATGGGATCTGAGGCCAGATGGAGTGGTAAGAACATTGATTCCCAAGACTTTCACAGAGGAGAGCAGGCTGGCTTGAAGGACCCTCTTTCTCAAAGGAGATGCTCTATCTTTGCAGATGAATCATTTCATGGGAGTGATGGTTGACCTTTTTCCTCATTCTTTGTCAAGATGCTGGGAATAGCTTTGAGAAGATCTTAACCAGATTGCTTAGCTGCAGTTAGAAATTCAGCCATGGCTTTGTGCTGTAAGCTTTGCCTATCTCTGAGTGTGTGATGACAATGTTTGTCATCTATCTACAGGGGTCATTGTGGCATGGTTGTGATATAGGAAAGGCACAGAGGTTTTATATCTGAAAGATTCAGGGTTATATCTTAATATTGTGGCTCACTATTTAGCTAGGGCGAATAACTTACTCTGGCTCCCTCAACTACAGTGTGGGGATGAGACTAATCAATAACCCACCAAGTTCACAGAATCATTGAGTGCAATAATGTGCATGAAGTGCTGAATAAATCATAAATCATTAAATAAGCGCTGGTTAAAAAACCTGTCTGCTAGTTGCTACATGTCACTTTGTTGCTTAGGAATGCCCCTTGTAATTGGAAGATGGAAAGCCTGCATCTTATTGCCCATGTGTTTATGAGTGGATGTTTCCCCAGTATGCCTCTGGGGGAACCTCAGATGCTTCTGAGGATAGGAACGAGCCAGGGCATGTTTTCTTGGCCCATCCTTTGTCATTTGATCATTCTGGACCCGGTGAATTCTCTTGTCCTCCACAAAGACATTCTTCAGTTTATTAGTTACTATAATTACATGCACATTTGTTTTCAGTTCCACAGATATTTACTGAGCTCTTCAGATAAGTCAGACTCTATGTGGAGATGATGTGGGGGGGTGATGAAAGGAAGAATGAGACATGTGTCTGTTTTCAGGGAGTTTGGTCCAGGGGAAGGATGCCCTGGAGCTTGTGGTAAAGAATGGGGAAGGTTGAGGGAGGAGAATGTTCTCACAATGAATATTTTTGAAGATACTGGTCAGCATCCTTGAAGTTATTCACTGTACCCTGAAGGAGAAGTTGATCTCCATTTTGCAGGGGAGGAAGCTGAAGCTTAAGTTAATAAGTAATCTCACCAGAGGATGCTGGGGGAAAAAAGCTCTTAGGTCTAGAATGTCTCCCCTGGTTCATCTTCCAGTCCTTTTATATCTGTCCCCAGTGGTAACATCCTACCAGCAAAATATCATCACTTCATTCAAACATCCAGGCAGACCCATTCTTTCCTGCCCACAGGCCTTTCCAAGGTTCTTCCTTCTGCCTGGAATGTTCTCAGCTATTCCAACCCACCCTTCATTGGATGGCTAATTATTTCATATCCCTTAGGTTTTTGCTTAATTTTCACCTCCTTACAGAGGATATCCTGAGCTCTGCCACCTGAATATCCTCTGATGGGACTTTCCCTTCATGGCGCTTGCCTCATTTCATAATCATGTTTGCTTATTTGAGGCCTGTAAGCCGCCCGCTTTTTTCACCAGGTGTTTTTCACAACCCTTGGCATTGAGTATAGAGACAGTGTGAGACTCACTTTGCGCACTTGGGTATGCATGAAATATTAGTTTACAACATTTACAAAACAATCTAACTTAATTCAAGCCCCCATCTCATGG